CCGTCCTCGGTGGGGGGCGTTTTCAGCGCGCTGCCCCAGTCTCCTCTCTCCACGACTTCTAAATCCCAAACCCATTGGAGTTGTGGGGTTAGGGTTTAGGGTTTAGGGTTTAATCTTGTGCTTTCAACACAAAGAACTTTAAAGAACAATTCGCCATCTTTGATGTGAGGAAAGGAAGCATATCATGCAATGATTTTGTGAAAGATTAACAGCCCTTGAAGTCCACATGAGACATCCGCAAACACAAAACATGGACTGCTTTGTGAAAGCTGGATGCACATACAATTTACAAGCAGGAGGTATACCATAAGGTAAACCCCCGAGCCCCTGAAGCCCTGAACCCTAGTCCGTTGAGCACCCCTAAGCCCTTCATCCTGGTAATCCTGAACTCTAGGCCCAAGACCCTAAACCCTGCAAATCTTGAACGCCCTGAACAGTAAACCCTAAACCCCACAAATCCTGAATCCTAACTCGAAACCCTAAACCCTAAACCCTAAAACTGAATTCTAGTCCGAAACCCTAAACCCTAAGCCCGCAAATCTTGAGCGCTGCTCTCAGGTGGCCCAGATCCACGAGAGGCGGCCTAGTCGCACCACAGGCGGCCATGTGTCCGTGACGAAGACGTTGGAGCCTAAAGCGGCCCCACCTAGGGGTAGTTTCCTGGTGGGACCATATTAAGGGCCCATGAAACTACCCCTAGACCCCAGAACACGAAGCCCTGTTATGCAAGGATTCTTGGAGGTTGAGAGGGTCTGATATAGGGGCCTTAGCAATGAGAGTAGGTTTTTGGGGGGTGGGGGACTACGATTAGTAGTATTCCGACCCTATATTCCTACTTCTTAGGGTTTCGGGGCTTAGGGATTCAGAGTGTCTCAGGGTTCCAGGGACCCGCGGCTTCGGGGCTGCTTGGGCTCTCAAGGTTTCAGGTTTTCCCGGGGCCGGGGGCTTAGGGTTTAGGGTTTCGGGTTCAGGGTTTAGGGTTTAGGGTTCAGGGTCAGGGTTTAGGGTTTAGGGTTTAGGGTTTAGGGTTTAGGGTTTAGGGTTTAGGGTTTAGGGTTTGGGGTTCAAGGTTTAGGGTTTGGTTGAAGGCTCAGAAGGGTGAGAAGGTGGCATGGGTCCCCTGCTGGGGCTGAGAGCATCTGGGAGAAAACGATCACCCTTCAGCTTCCAACATCTCCTAAACCCTAAACCCTAAACCCTAAACCCTAAACCCTAAACCCTCAGCTTCCAAAGTCTCTGAAGGAGCCAGAGCTCGCGGCCCTTGACGTCACGGTGCGTGATGTTGGCATGGTGCGCCACGGCAAGGCCTGTCTCAGAGCTCGCATCTACTTGTTTTAGGGTTTAGGGTTTAGGGTTTAGGGGTTAGGGGTTAGGGTTTAGGGTTTAGGGTTTAGGGTAGAAACAACGTGGGCAGAAAGCAGGTGCACCGGAACCTCTAGCGAGACATGCCGTAGACATCTGGTGCCTACATGGTCGCACTCCTTTGTCCTGTCCATAAGGTTCGTGTATCAGGTCTGGGCACTGTGAAGGGGGGAAGGGGTAGATTCCCCCCCCTTACATGTCCCGAAATAGCCTTAATTGCTGAGGGAACCTGGGGGGCGGGGGGAAGGGGGGGGGTGTAGTGTAGAGGGGGGGTAGCAGGGGAACCTATCAGGAAATATCCCTCTTTGGGAATACCCATAAAGGAAGGCCTTGCAGGAGTTGGTAGGCGAAGTTCTTGATGATCTTCCCACCTGCAGTGCGAAGCGTGGGACTTAGGGCGGTTCAGAGTTTAGGGTTTAGGGTTGAGGGTTGAGGGTGTAGGGCTGAGGACCAACTAGCCCCTCTGTACCCACAGACACCAGGGCCCAAGCCTGAACCCACCACATCCTAAATGCCTCAACCCTGAACCTTTCCGAGCCCTTTTTGCTCTCATGAAATCTCCCAATACCCTAGACTCTACACCCTAAAACCTCAAGCTCCAGCTGAGGGGCCCCAGGGGAGGCCCTCTTTCACCAGCCACCAGAAGGTGGACCTCTCCACCACCTGGCGAAGAAAAGTGGGGGGGTTGGGGGGTTGGGCGGCTGGAGCGAAGAGGTTCTGTAGGACTCATGTAGGGCTTCTGGGTTTACAAAAGGGTTTGGAGTTGGGCTGAAGGCTGTAGTTTCTGGGGGTTTTAAGGTTTGCCTGTGGAGGTTTCGGGCTGAGGGCTTTGGGGTTTGGATGGTAGAGATGTTTGCAGCAGGTCACACCAGCCACACGAGCCTCGAAGCAATGTCCAACACGTAAGCTCTGCGCGAGGAGGCTGGGTGGTGGAGAGGTGTTAGGGGGCTTTGCGGGTTGAAGGGTGGGTCGGGGGATGAGGGGGGGGGTCAGGCTTAAGGTTCAGGCCCTTGCCTCTTCTGATCCCCCCGCTTCCCCCTCGCCCCCTTCCCCTCCCGCCCCACACTCCCGAATTCTGTGAAAGCCCTGTGCCTGCGACCCTGGCTGTGTCTTGAAGAGGAAGTGGGTCAAGGAGAAGCCTGGCACGGAACACCCATGAGCCCCAAGCGCTCAAGCCCGAAAGGCACGAGACACCCGCAAACGGAACCCGAAATCAAAAATCCTCAACGCCCACAGCCCTGAACCCTGAACCCTAAACCCTACATCCTAAACCCTCAACGCCCTACACCCCCCAAACCCTGAACCCCAAAGCCTGAACATCCTCGCAAGCTGGTGAGTCCCAGGGCCGTGAACCCCCCCTAAAAAACCCTCCAGGCTCGTAGCCCAAAAAGCATGTGAAACCCCTAAGGCCCTCAGACTACTGCAAAACCCCTAAGGCCCTGAATCTGCAAAACCCCTAAGGCCATAAAGCCAACACCCTACACCCCTAAATCCCTCAAACCCTAAGTGGGAATGAAGCCCTAAACCCTTCAAGATGCACGCATGGTTCCCCGAGCTCATCGTATGTCGGGTTTGGGGGTTTATAGGGTTTGAGGGTGTGGGGGCTTTCAAGGGCTTAGGGGCCATCCAAGGGTAGTCACATGGTCCCTTAGTATGGTCCCTACCTCCTTTAAAGAGTTCTGAAGTCCGGGCCCTTTGGGTTTTACAGGGGATGGGGTATATAAGGGGTCCAAATTCACGGGTCCATATTGAGGGACCATGCCCTTCGAGGCGGGAGCTTTAGTGTCTGCTTGATTGAAGCACCAAGACCCCTACCTTTCCGAAGCCGCATAGCGCAGTCTTAGCCCCGAGAAAACTTAAACCCTGAACCCCTGAACCCCAAAACCCTCCAATTCTGAACCCTAAGCCCCAAACCCTAAAACCACTAAACCGCTAAACCCCAAAACCTCTGACCCTCGAAACCTAGATCCGCAACCCTCAAGCCCCACATGTTTCAAACTTTTCGCCGAAAGCCTTCGTTTTCAAAGACCAGCCAGAGCTCCTGGGGTGCGGTAAGCTTGCCGGCGAAGGGTTTTTATACTGCTCAGGACCCACAAGCCTAAAGCCTCAACCCCAAACCCCAAACTGAGAAGCACATCATCTGTTCTCTGATAAAGGATGTCGTCTTCAGTATCAAGTCCGGGTTGGTTCCTTAGACAAGCCCTGAACCTCGTTGGGTGCTTTACTAGGAGCCACTCCGTGCCAGACCTAGAGATTGCGCTTGGGTTTAGCTCTTACTGTAGGGCTTAGGATTAGGGTTTAAGATTTAAGGTTTGGGGTTTAGGGTCTAGGGCTTTAGGGTTGTATACTGAAGCTCCCAAAAGGCACCAAAGAGCGCAACACCTCCGAACAAAGAGCAAGCCGAAGGGTTAGAGGGTGTAGGGTTTCGGGGTCCCTATACAACCTGACCCTAAACCCGAAACCAAGAAAGATCCGCAACCAGACATGAGTAAGCACATCTTCCCCTCTTCCGCAATCGGGAACACGAATCGATAAACCCTAAACCCTAAACCCTGAACCCTAAACCCTAACCCCCCCCTCACCCCGATGTTTAGGAACGCTTGAGCCCTAAACTAAACCCGAACAAAGAGCCGTCCTTAACTTTTTAGGGTTTTAGGGTGTAGGGTTTAGGGTTTAGGGTTTAGGATTTAGGGTTTAGGGTTTAGGGTTTAGGGTTTAGGGTTTAGGGTTTAGGGCTTAGGGCTTAGGGCTTCGGGCTTAGGGTCGCTGAGGGGGATGTTAAAACAAAATGAATCCCCGAAGTCCCAGCTATACTGAGCCTGGTACCCTGGCGAAAATTCTCATGTCAGCTGCAACTAACAATCTGTCCAAGCCCTAAACCCTAAACCCTAAACCCTAAACCCTAAACCCGGATTCTGAGCTCCCGAGCCAGCTTCCGGCTGTCGCCGCTGAGGTCCACCTGCTCGAAAGACTCGAGAAACCTGGCGGGTTTTTGAGGGGGGCTTTTTGAGGGGGTTATACTATTTCGGGTTTAGGGTTTGGGGTTTTGGGGGTTTTGGGGGGGATAACGGTTTAGGGGTTTGGGGGTTGGGGGGTTTTATGGTTTCGGGGTCTTTGGGGGTTTGGGATGTAGGGGCTTGGGGTTGGGGGCGGGGTTTAGGGCCTTGAGCTCGGGGTTGAGCGTTTGCTTACAAAGGGCTTTAGGACCTAGGGCTTGTGGGGTTTTCCCTAAACACTAAACCCTACACCCTGAACCCTAAACCCTCAACCCTCAACCCTAAACCCTAAACCCTAAACCCTAAACCCTCAACCCTCAACCCTAAACCCTAACCCTGAACCCTAAAGGGCTTTTTTGCAGCCGGGCGTGGCTCAAGGAGATTCTGCTGCATGAGCCGCTCCAAGACGATACGCTGCAATGAGCATGCGAAGGACAGAAGACGTGAAGAGGCAGAGGGCATCTGCCCAGAAGTAAGGTGGGTCTTCTTGTTTTTTGTAGGTTGTGTGGGTTGCCCTATACCGATACTTTCAGGAACATAAGAAAATGAAACCCCAAAAATAGGTGCCCTTATCTTTCATTCGCCCTCACAACAGAGACGGAAGGAGTTCTAGTTTCCTAGTTCCCCCAGCAACCTGCGGCATCACTTCTTAGCAGCCTCTTCAAGTAGCTGGATGATCTTGGCAGGGCTGCCGCCGAAGTCCCGTGGCGTCAGGTAGGCGGTCTTCCACTTCTTGCCCTTCCCCTGGGCAATGTCCATGGCAGTTTCTCGGTTGTCGTTACGGAGACCGGGGTCGGCGCCGTGGCGGAGGAGGGTCTCCACTGTCGCCTCGTCGCGGCACCTCACGGCTAAGTGAAGGGCCCGGTCCTGGTAGCGGCCGTCGAAGCGGCAGTAGGGCCAGCTGTGCTCCTCGTGCGCATCATGGAAGTCGGTGGGGAGCATCTCTGCATTCACATCTACGCCTCTCTGCCGCAGGAGCCCACCGATGGCCACGGCGTTCCCCTCATGAACAGCCCAGAAGAAGTGATGCTGGGGACGATAGTGCCTGCCGTAGCGCGCGATGATCTTGTCGGCCTCTGCATCCTCCACCTGCAACAAGTCGAGCTTCAGCAACACCACGGGCGCGTTGCCGTCAAGCTGGGCTGCCAAGGGCGGGGCAGATATGCAGTCATCCAGGGTTCGGTCCTTGCACACCAGCTGCTGCAAAATCTCGGAGGTCCCTTCGACCTCCGCAATGGCACGCTTCAAATCTCTTACGGTGGCAGCTGCGTCGAGATGCAACGTCGCCACTTCTTCTCCATTGAGCTTGATGACATTAATGTCCATGGCTTCAGGCAACTGTGGTACGAAGGACGCTTGCTGAAAAGAGCAACCTGATTGATTCCTATTGGGTAAGGCTGCTGAACCTAAACGGTGAGCCCTAAACCCTAAACCCCAAACCCCAAACCCTAAACTCCAAACCCTAAACCCTAAACCCTACAGGTTGCTAAACCGCCGGTAGGCGGCTCGAGTCTCACGTCAACAGCTGACGACTTCTGAGTGAAAGGCTTAGGGTTTTGGGTTTTGGGTTTTGGGTTTTGGGTTTAGGGTTTCGGGTTTAGGGTTTAGGGTTTAGGGTGAGGGTTTAGGGTCGGTATGTTCCCCCCTATACGAACAGTCCTTATTAGGGTTTAAAGTAGGGGGTACTATACTCCCTATTAAGGACTGCTAGCGCAAGGGGGAACATCCCAAGATCTAAACGGGTAGTTCTTTAAATTCGGGTCCTTTTTTGGGGGGGGGTCCTTCTTGTTAAGGGTGCCGTACTTTGCAGGGAACCCAAGAAGGGACCTTAATGTAGAGAACTACCTATACGAAGCCGATTCGATACACCCTAAACCCTGGGCCTTAAGCCCTAACCGAAAATCTACCACAAGCGCAAGAACCCAAGAAGCCCAAGCCATGAAAGTCCTGATACATGCATACCCTAACCTTTCTTGGAGGCTCATGGGACCAGAACCAACCGCTCAAACCCCCGAAACCCCAAACCCCAGAGCCCTCAACCCTAAACGCTACAGTAGAGCCCTGGAACCCCGAAACTCTAAACCCCTAAACCCCGAAAGCCTAGTCCCCCCTCATCCCCTCAACTTTCCCTACACCCTAAACAAACCCGCACACCCGACCTGGCGATGTGATGCCGATTCCTGGGTAAATGCGCTCGGCTTCTCTCAGAGATGGTGGTTTCCGAAAGCAGGGGTACCTGATTGGTTTAGGGCCTAGGGTTTAGGGTTGAGGGTTGAGGGTTTAGGGTTTAGGGTGTAGGGTGGGACTATATGAGGGGTCCCTCATTTTCGGAAAAACCACAATATGGGCTTCGGGGCGTACTTGTAACCTGTAAGGCTGTCGAAGGTTTAGGGTTGAGACTTCGAGGTTGCGGGCAAGCGTTTAAGGTTTGGGATGCGAGCCTCGGGTGTAGGGTTTAGGGTTTGGGTCTTATCAGGGCCATTGGGGTGGTGCTGTGGGTTCGCGGCCAGTTCCAGACAAACCCTAGCGAAGACATGCCAAATAAAGCCAAAACTCAAAACACCAAACCCTAGCGCTAAACCCCTACAGAAAAATTAAAACCATCCAAAAGCCAGCAGAAGGTTGTCTTGTAAGGTCCCCCGCGTTTGGGGCCGGGGGGGGGGTTTAAGAATGTTCCCCAGTACCCCCTACAGGTTCCTATAGGTGCCTGCGACCCTAAACCTCTAAACCCTAAACCCTAAACCTCTAACCCCCAGACCCTAAACCCTATAGACCCCAAATCCCCCCCCGCCCCCCACTTCAAGGACCCCATGAATTGCTTTGGGGCCCGGGAGATTACCTTGAGGGCGCCTCTTCCTTTGGTCTTTGGGGCTTGGGGTGCGGGGCATCGTGCAACCGGAAGTCTGCAAGAGGGTGCCGAAGTAGATCTCCCTCTCGCCGCTCCTGCTGCTGCGGCTCAGTTAGGAGTTCAGGGTTTAGGGTTTAGGGTTTAGGGTTTAGGGTTTAGGGTTTCTAAGCCTGAGCTGAAGATGTAGGGATTGAGTTCTGTCGGGCTCCTAAACTCTCAACCCATCCTAAACCCTAACCCTACATCATGCCTCCTGATGTGCTCGCCCTTCTCGACGAAGAGGCGCTTCAGGACGACCTCCTGATACGAGCGATAGGTGTTAGGATATGTCGAGGTGCCCTAAACCCTAAACCCTAAACCCTAAACCCTATACCCTATACCCTAAACCCTAACCCTAAACCCTAAACCCTGACCCCACACCCTCATCGGGTCTAGGGTCCGGGGAGTTGGGGATCGATCGAAATGATGTGCCCCTGTCTCATAACCGCAATGAAGGGGAACACTGGTGACAGTGAGGTTCGAAAAATTCCGTCTAGGGTTTTGGAAGGAAACTGTTCTAGGGTCTTGGCATCGAGGGTTTCTTGGTCTGAGGGTTTAGGGCTTGTGGGTTGCGGCCGGAGGGTTGGGGGTGTAGGGCTTTTAAGGAGTTAAGGTTTCAGGCTTTTTGAGTTTCGGGTTTGGGCTTGAAAGTGGCCAATTAGTTCTTGAAGGGGGAAATGGGAACCTACAGAACCCTCTAATTATTTATATAAGGGCTTTGGGTGGTCCGCTTTGGGTTCCGGGGCTTTGGGTTGTAGAGTGTAGAGTTTAGGGTTCCCAAAGGCTCCAATACTCCTCAATTCAGGAATACCCTTAAACCAACTAAGGAACCCTCTTATACTTCACGGAATATCCCTAAACCCTAAACACTGAACCCTAAACCCTTAATTAAGGAGTATGAAGGTTAGGGTTTGGAGCAATGGAAGCTGAACCCTTGAAAGCAAGGTCCTTCATGGAGCCATCAAGTGTCACTGCGCGCCAGGCCTTTGGGGCTTTGGGGAGTTCGGGAATGTGGGGTTTAGGGTTTGCGGATTTCGGGTTTAGGGTTTAGGGTTCGGGGTTTAGGGTCTAGGGTTTCTAAGCCCTAAACCCTGAAGCCTAAACCTCAGGCCAAACTCTGAAGTGCCCTGGAGCCATCAATCCAACAACCCTACAACCTCTCTCCTAAAAGCCCTGCAACCCAAGGATCAAACAAACGCTGCCAAAACCGAAAACCCTGCAACCCTGAACCCTGAAACCAAAAACCTCTGAGCCCCAAAACCCTACCCGTAACCCCTAAACCCTAAACCCTAAACCCCCCAAAACCAAAATGAAACAAAAGGCCCAACCCAGCCCATCCAGTCTTCGGACCTCACCGAAGGAGCCGCGGCCCAAGCGAGAGCCGAATCCATAACGCCAGTTGCGCCCAGCCTCTGAGCGAATCACCATACGGTTTTTGGGAAGAGGGTTTTGGGATCTTTTGGGCTTAGGGCTTAGGGTTTAGGGTTTAGGGTTTAGGGCTTAGGTTTAGGGTTTCGGACTGAGCCAGTGCTTCGGGTTCTGGGGGCAAGTTTAGGTTCCAGGCTCTGGGGCGTTAGGGTTTGGGGCTTAGGCATTTAGCGTTTGGGTTGGGGCTTAGCTTCCAGGTTTTGGTTTCTGGGCTCAGGGTTTGTGGAGGCTTTTTGGCTTCGGGCTTGGTGTTCAGGGCGTAGGGTCTTCTCAATCTCCTCCAGCCCTTGCCCCACACCAGGGGTGTCGCGGTTGCAACACCCCGCACACCCCTAAACCCCCCTAAACCCCCCTAAACCCTAAACCCTAAACCCTAAACCCTAAACCCTAAACATGCCTGTAACAAACGTAGACGCTTGAACTCTCGGCCCCATAAACCGCGAAGTTCTGGCAGCACGGACTTCGCATGCCCTATACCCTATAAGTTGAAAAGCCCTAAAACCCCGGTAGGCCTAAACCCTAAACGCTAAACCCTAGACGATGCCTCATCGCCGCACATGAGGCGGGAGACGTGTACGGTGTACGGGTTAAGGGTTTGGGAGGGTTGTAGGGTTCTGAGGTTTTTGGCCTGTGGGTTTAGGGGTTGTAGTATGGCGTTCTGAGGTTGAGGAGGTTTCAGGAGTCATTGAGCGCAGGGCTCAGCCGACCACATGGGTGGGGGGGGGGGGGGGGGGGGGCAAAGCCTAAACCTAAACCAAGCGCATGAAAGTATGTTTAAATGTCCTTTCGAGCTTGACTAAACCCAAGAAGAAAAGCCCTTCCAGAAGCTTCGGGTTCAAGGCACTACGGTTTAGGCCTATGAGGCTGAAGGCGAAGCAGAACCTGGAGACCAGTTTAGCTCCATGCCGCCTCAGTGCCCAGGTAGTGGCGCTGCAGATGAGAGACGGCATACTCCTCAGGAGCAAAGGGGCGCACCCAGCGTTAGACCCTATGAACCCCAACCCCATAAGCCCTGTAAACCCAGCTTAAACCCAAAGACCGCACAAACCGCGAAAAAAAAAAAAACTACAGAAAAACCAACACCTTGAACCAACACCTTGGACTTCAAACACCATCTTCCAGGCCCCCCCAACTCTAAACCCAACCAGAACCCCCAACCCCCAACCTCCATCGTGCCCCCAAGTCGGAAGTAGCCCTGGACCCTCCAATTCGGTCCCAGTGTCGTGCACGGCAGGTAAGAATCCAATGTCCCTGGGCAAGGCGCACGTGTAGGGTTTTGAGGGTGTAGGGCTCAAGATTTAGGGGCTTAGGGCTTCGAGCCGAGCACTGCTCAGGGAGAGCTTACCAGCCCTGGCATTCTGTACTCGAACGTTGGTGACACACATTTGCTGGGAGACCGTGATGTTGGTGTTCTAGCTAGCAAGGTTCTCTTTGGTGTTCTAGCTTGCTGGTCTTGAAATAGGGAACTAGATTTCCTTTCTCATCCCTTCAAAGGACACATGTAAGTTACCTACTTCCCAATTCCTACGAAGCAATAGTAAGCTGAGGTTCATATGGCAGGTGGTCAGACTCGATACACTGGGGTTGGGATTTCATCCGACGTGCTGGGCTTTCAGGGTTCATGCGTTTGGGGGTGGGGTTGAATAGTCGGAGCTCAGGGGATTTAGCTTCGGGACTGGTTGGCTTTAGGAAGGAATTACAGTCTAGAGTTTAAGGGTTCGGCCGTTTAATTCGGGCTTAGGGTCTGTTTAATTTTTTTATAAAAAAAAAAATTAAAAAAAAATTACCATTTCTGAAACCTGAAACAGCAAGAGCCAAGCACAGCATCCATCTCCCATACCTCTTCTCGGCGGCTCTTGGGGCACTAAACCCTACGCCCCCGCCCACCGCGTCCACCCTAAACCCGAAAGCCGTAAACCCTCAACCCAACACCAAAAACACCAATACGAAAAATGCCTCTGGAAGCCCTACACCCAAACCTTAAAACCTGCACCCCTCGACCGAAAGCAACCAAAACCCTAAACCCCAACTCCCTGCGTTTGGGGCCGCACGGCCAACGGAACGGCGGCAGCGGCAGGTCTGCAGCGATGGCGGCCGCCAGGCCCTCCAAGGGGGCTTGGGGGGCTTGGGGGTTTGGGGTCTAGGGTGTTAGGGTGTTAGGGTGTTAGGGTGTTAGGGTGTTAGGGTGTTAGGGTGTTAGGGTGTTAGGGTGTTAGGGTGTTAGGGTGTTAGGGGTCTAGGGTGTTAGGGTGTTAGGGTGTTAGGGTGTTAGGGTGTTAGGGTGTTAGGGTGTTAGGGTGTTAGGGGTCTAGGGTGTTAGGGTGTTAGGGGTCTAGGGTGTTAGGGTGTTAGGGTGTTAGGGTGTTAGGGTGTTTGGGTTTAGGGTTTAGGGCTTAGGGTTTAGGGGTTAGGGGGTTGAAGGGGATTTGGGGTTAGATGGGTTTAGGGTATCAGGGGTGTTGGGTTGAGTGCTTCTAGGGCTTTGGGCGTTGAAGGCTCAGGGTTGCAGGGTTGTTCATGCTTACAGTCTTAGGGCGCTTGGGCGTTTAAGGGAAATGGACATTTTGGTCTATGCACTTTAGGGTTTAGAGTTTAGGGTTTAGGTATAAGCTTCGGGCGCCAAGGTAGGGGATGTGGTGCGTCTCCATTTTCGACTAGGCATTAGAAACTGAGCTGAAGCTTATCGAGTGTTGATGTTCTGTGCTTTAGGTGCATCACTTTTGGGTCAGGCTGTTCCCTGGCGGCAACAATCACCCCAGCGATTGCTTCAAAGTCCCGCCCCCCCCCCTCCCCCCGCCCCTCTCATAATCGAATACTGCTACTACTCGGGGGCAACGTCCAAAGTTTTGCAGCTTCGGCCTCAATGGTTGAGGGAGTTCTGGATTCAAAAGCAACTACTCCAGACCATCCACCTTTTTCCCCTGAAAGAGAAAAAAAAGGGCTTGGGGTAGCCTAGGGTAGCTCAGGGTATCTTCGGGCAGCTTAGGGCAGCTTTGGGTAGCTTGGGGTAGCTTAGGGTACCTTAGGGTAACAAAAAAGAGAAGGACTTGCGGCCTCGATGGGAACCAGCTGCCCCTGGCCCTGCCCATCATCCAGAAGCAGCCTCGCACATTGGACTCAGAGTCCTGAACCCTCAAACCCCTAAACCCCTAAACCCTTAAACCCTAAACTTTGGCCCTAAACCCAAAACCCTTAAACCTTAAACCCCAAGCCCTCAGCCAAAAGCCTAAACTCGAAACTCTGCAATTTGGGAGGCGTGAGATTTTCCGTTTGAAGGTAGGGCCTCAAGGGGAGTGGCTCTTCTACATTCGGCTCCCTGTGGGAGCCGGGCTACCTGCAAAACGGAGACCCTTCATCCAAATAACAAAACACACACAAGACGCTCTGTTTCTTCCCAGGACGTCGGCATGGGGAGTTAGAAGATGATCTGTGAAACGGGCCGGATAATTGTAAGTACTTTTGGGTCCTTCGGTTGCTATTCCAAAAGAGTTCAGGGTACGTACCAAGAGTGTGCATCATTTGGTTCAGCCCGCGTCGGAAGAGTTTCAAACACAAAGAGCACGGAACAGCAGGTGGCCCACACCCCAGTTTGCGGCTGCGAGTCTGATGCCGGAGATGCAATGAAGGTGAAATCTGCTGTCGAAGGTGAAATCAAGGTTCGAGCTCCATGATCAACTTGGCACTTTTGGAACGTCTGCCAAGTTGCCGGTGGAAATCAGGCTTCGCATGGTCAATCTGCGTCCTCTTCTGCATCCTCCTGGTGCTTTCCAATGGCAGTCTCATCTACAGTTAAGGTCGCTTCCTTCTTACTCTTCTTCCCGGACTTCGCCACCTTCCCTTTGGGAGAAGTCGGCGATTTGTCAGCTTCCTCGTCAAATTGGCCTTTGCCAATGGCTTCGCCACCTGGGCTGGCGCTTTCGGCCACGACTTCTTTGGTCTTTCTGACCTTTCTGATCTTTCTGGCCTTCTTCTTCCCTTTGAAGGGCTTCATCTCGGCCCCACCCTCCCCAGCGACGTCTCCGGTCAGCAAGACGACACTCACGCCCTCCGGCACCGGCACGGCCTCATGGTCTGCCGGCAGCCTGACACCTTCGAAATCGGCGTTGGAAGTCCCAAGCTCTTCTTTTTTGCACTCTGGTCGGGCATTCGCATCTTCCTCCGACTCCGCAAAGTCTTGAAACGACGAGATGCTTATGACTTCTGCCTGGGGCTCGCAAGCTTCAGTGGCCTTCTCAGATGTCCGGCGTCCCAAGAGGGGCCATTTCAACTCTCCAGTCTCTTCGAAGCAGCATCTCAGGCAGAAATAGCAAAGCATGTTGAACACCAGGAGGCCAACAAGGCCGGCCACTTCTCGATCTGGAGTGTATCCGCAGACATTCTTGGCAAGAAGGAGGGCCAGTAGGGCGCACGCGGCCATCTCGACCCACCGGATGGCCACGACTCGATCGAACGCGGGCTGGGACCAGTGGAACACATCGTGCATCCAGAGGGCAGGGACCACGTAGCCGCAGAGCAGGCTGAGTAACAACAGAAGGCATCTGACCAAAACAGTATCGGGCATGTCATCCCTCCACACACTAGAATTATCTTGCAGGTTTGTCCTGTAAAACACACCCGAGCTCAAAGCCATAAACGCAGCCAGCAGCATCGACCCATAAAGCCTCGCCTCTGCTGACAGGACCAAGGCGATGGCGGCGGAGCGAAGGCCTTGGTCAGTGGCCAACCAGATGCCTGCTACCACTCGGTACAGAAAGCCCTCCAGGGGCACAACGTCGGAATCTCTCACAAACATTCCCATGGTCTTGATGATGCCGTGCGCCAATGCCATGATGGAAATGACGACGGAGAACATCTTCATGGGGCTGCCATGCGCCCCTACAGCGAAGAGGACGTAAGACTGCAGATACAACTGTGGGGCACTCTCCCCGATCTTGGTCGCCAGCTCTCGGAGTATGATGCCAACTGTCTCATCTCCGCCGCTTGGAGCGCCTCTGCGGACCGCAAGTTGGATGTCGACGAGGTAGTGGAGTTGGCAAAGGCCCATAACAAAGAGAAGGCCAAGCTTGGCCATCCACTCGCACCAGCTCATCCTCTTAATTCTCCTCCTCCCGAACACCTCCTCGGAGGAAAAAAAACTCCACAACGCACTCTGAACCACGTTCGAGCCGATGAGGAGGACCAAGCCCAGGCCGAACCACCAGCCGTGTACCTCGCACTCGGCCTGTGGATCGACCCCATCGCAGCTGGTGCTCAGATCGTGGCCCAAGACACATCCATACTGCAGAATCACGTACCAGTCTGAAACAAAGTCGGCCCAGTTGAGGCAAGCGGTGAAGAGCATCCCAAGGATGAACTTCTGATCTTTGTTCAGGAGATTCTGTGCACGTTCCATCCATCCTTTGATGGTCTCCATGGCTCACGCGGAGAGGTCGACAGCCAAGAGCTGCTGCGGTCCCGTGCTGACCTCCGTGTTCTGATGGCGGACTTATAGGCCTTAGGGTTTCAGTTCTGTTAAGTACATGTGTGCGTCATTCAGGGTTTACAATTTGTAAGGCTCCGGGTGTGGCAACCGTCGAATCATAGTGCGTCCGTTTAGGTTTCGCAAACTTCCGCTCCACCCTGTCCGGGCCTGCGCACGTGAATCATGTGTGTCATGCCCGGCGGGCGCAGCAAACCCTAGACCCTGAACCCCAAACCCCTACACCCAAAACCCTATCAACCCCATGCCCCTACATCCCAACGCCCTGTAAACCCCAAACCCCTAAACCTAAAGCCCTAAAACCCACAAACCTCTAAAACACTAAACCCTACAAACTCTAAACCCTAAACTAAAACACCAAACCCTATAAACACTAATACCTATAAACTCTAAACCCCCAAACCCTAACCGCAATCCTTTGCCGCACTGTGGCCCTCAGAGATTGTTAGGGGCATCTTCCAGCCTTTCGCTCGGGAGGGGCAGCGCCAGGGAGGTACCAACCGCCGAGGACGTGGGTAAGTGGCAGGCCTCTAGGGGGTTGTTTAGGGTTTACAGGATTTGAAGGGTGTAGGGGGGTTTAGGGGGTTTTAGGGGGTTTAGGGGGTTTTAGGGGGTTTAGGGGGTTTAGGGGGTTTAAGGGGTTTTAGGGGGTTTAGGGGGTTTTAGGGGATTTAGGGGGTTTAGGGGGTTTAGGGGGTTTTAGGGGTTTGGTTTAGGGCGCTTTCGGGGGGGCTTCGGAGGGGCTTACGGCTAGAATCTGGGGTTTCGAATGGGCTTTGGGGCAAGCTCCTCAAAAAGAATCCTGAAATGTGAATTCCAAGCTCAGGGCGCAACAACACACTGCCGGTTTTACTTCAATCCGGCAAGCGAGTCTTCTTTCAGGCTGCAGAACACAATCGGAAAAGCTTTAGGGTGTTCTGGGCTTTGAGGTGGGGCAGGGGGTGCTCGGCTATCGTTATCGCCATGCACGATTTGTTATGGTTCTGTTTCGGGCTGGTCAAGTACAGCAACACACGCTTAAGTTCTCCATAGAATCATAGAACCATGAACCTGCAAGAGCCACATGTTTCGGGCTGAAGGGCTGTTGCGTTCTTTCGGGGATGCGAGGATCTTGAAGATTCAAAGCACTGGCTCTGGGCTTTAGGGCTCAGGGCCGCCGGCCGTTAAGGAGATTTCAGGAGCTTGAAGTTTAGAATGTAGCGGCCTTCATAGTTAGAATAGGGTTTGGGGGGGTATCTTAGTATAATTTACAAAGGGACCCTAACGGAATACCATTAATAATTATTCCGACCCCTGTATTATGTGAAGGCTCATGGACTAGTCTTATGCTATCAGGGTATATATTTTGGGGGTTCCTATGCTGAGGATGAGGGTTTTTTGCGAGCATACGAAGCGTGCTCCGAATTTTGGGAATACACAGATGTGGGGCATGCGTAACCTCAATGAGGACATCGACAGTTGTAACTACGTTTAGTTGCCCTTCCGTTTTTGCCCCGGTTGTACCTACCCGTGCAAGCAATTACAGGCTGCACCCACCTGTAGGGAGTTTAGGGTTTTGGGTACCCCTGCATCCCACACAAACCGAAGCCGAATCAGCCCTTACACCGAAACACTCCGAAATCTAACAGCAAACCAAAGCCCCAGGAAAGAAGTACCCTGAAACCTATAGACTCTAACCTATATCCTGAATCCACCTGCGCGCGCGATGCTTTTTCCTGACACCTTCTTTGGGAGGCGGTGGCCTGAGACGCGCGGGACCACGGCTGGCTCCCTGCCTGAACCCGGATTCGGGGGCGCTCCTTATAGGGTTTAGGGTTTAGGGTTTAGGTTTTAGGGTTTAGGTTTTAGGTTTTAGGGTTTAGGGTTTAGGGTTTAGGGTTTAGGGTTTAGGGTTTAGGGTTTAGGGTTTCGGGTTTAGGGTTTAGGGTTTAGGGTTTAGGGTACTTATAACCGTTATAACCCAGTTGTAGGTGTAGTTCAAACCCCCTGTAGGGTTGTAGTTGGGTTATAAGTGCAGTGATAATTGGGTTACTAAGCACCATGAACCTCCCAGTCGGGTTTGTGCAGGGCTCATAGCTGCTTATCGGAAGAGAGCTCAAAGAGTTGATGGGGCTCATAGGGCGAAAAGGGTTTAAGGCTTAGGGTTTAGGCTTTGAGGTTAGGTCTTTAGGGGTTGGAGTTTCTTGAGTTTTAAGGCTTGTTGGGCTTGTAGGGGGGACTTGCAGGCTGTTGTGGGTCGTTCTGAGTTCTCCTCATGCCCCTTAAACAAACAAATTAGGGTTTAGGGCTTAGGGTTTAGGATTTAGGGTTTAGGGCTTAGGGCATTTTCGTAGCGGTAGACCCCCTGAAGCCAGAAGCCACCAAGCTGCGCGTCTGTCATGGACTTGAAGAGTTCGGTGGCCAGCTGCCACTGCCGGGCCCTCTCGCAGGCGCCAATCGCCCCAGTGTAGCTGATGACGTCTGGGCTTACCTTGACGCCGACAACCCCGTAAGCCCATCAAAGCCACAAACATACCAGCAGTAAAGGCCCAAAAGGCTCGGGTTTCGGGCTTTTGGTTGTTTGGGGCTTATAGGTTGGGATGTTCCCCCTTATACTAACAGTCCTTAGTAGGGATTATAATAGGGGGCACTTTAATCCACGTTAAGGAACGTTAGTATAAGGATCCCAAACCCTAAACTTTAAACCCTAAACCCTAAACCCTAAACATCCCAACTTATAGGGCTTGACGGGCTCAGGGCTTTTCGCGGGTCCAGGCCACCTGCGCCTCGGTCATGGACACAAGGAAGTGGATGGCCACCTGACCCACCCACCCAGAACTTATAGGGTTTAGGGTTTAGGGTTTAGGGTTTAGGGTTTAGGGTTTAGGGTTTAGGGTTTAGGGTTTAGGCTTCGTGGCATAGGGTCTAGGAACGCGGCCGCAAAACATCGGTGGCTCAGCTATACCGCCATGCCCTGCCTGACCTTGCTGTACATCCTAGGTCCAACACCCAGTAATTAGGCCCTAGACCCTAAACCCTAAACCCGAAACCCGAAACCCTAAACCCTAAACCCTAAACCCTAACCCTAAACCCTAAACCCTAAACCCTAAGCCCTAAGCCCTAAGCCCTAAACCCTGAGCGCACCTGCCACTGTCCGCCCTGGTCGCAGGCGCTGAGCGCGGCGTTGAAGCCGATGACGTCCGGGGCCAGGCTGCGCTTCCGCAGCGAGCCGAAGAGCTCCAGGGCCAGGGCCCACCTTCTCGGTCTTCTTGTGCGTGAACTATGCTTTGAGGGCTTAGGGTCATTTAGGGTTCAGGGTTTAGGGTTTAGGGTCTAGGGTTTAGGGTCTAGGGTTTAAGGTTAGGGTTAGTTGGGGCTTAGGAGTGAAGGAGTTTAGGGCTTTTTGGGTCTAGGAGTTTAGGGTCTAGAGGGGTTTGGTGTTTTAGGTTTGGGTGTTTCTTTGCTTTGCGTCTGGGGATTGTGTATACCCCTCTGCACACTAAGCCTCTAGAACCTCAAATAAAGCCCCTGAATCCCCCAAACCCTAAACCCTAAACCCTATACCCTAAACCCTAAACCCCTCAACCCTACACCCCAAACCCCCCCTAAACCCCAAACTCTAAACCCTAAACCCCAAACCCTAAAACCCTAAACCCTCCAAGACTCAGCAAGGCCACTGCATGCCCCGGGTGCAAGAGCTGATGGTGGCGCTGCAGCTGATGAGGTCCGGGCTGAGCTGGGAGGCTCGCATGGCATCCTCGGGTTTCTCCCACAAACTTGGGTTTTGTTTAGGGGCTTTGAGGGGGGCTTAGGGTTTAGGATTTCGGGGTTTTGGGGTCTAGGGTTTCTAGAGTTTTTTGGGGTTTTTGGGTTTCTCGGGTTGAGGGTGTGGGGGCTTAGGGGCTTGTAGGGTTTAGCTGTTCGAGTTGAGGAATGCGCCTGGCCATCCACGCTAGGCCCTTCGTATCCCTTCGTCATCTGCAGGCCGCAAACTCTTAGACAGGGGATGTTCCCCCTTATACTACCAGTCCTTAATAGGGATTATTAAAGGGGGTACGATAAGACCTACTAAGGACAGTTACAAGTAGTATAAGGGGGAACATCCCAACCTTAGACCTACAAAAGCCGAAGCCCACCACGGCCCAACCCAGCATCCGGAGCACCCCTGAAACCCCGTAGGGCCTAAGCCCCGCCTAACCGTCCCTAAACCCTAAACCCTAAACCATAAACCCTAAACCCTAAACCCTAAACCCTAAACGCCAAACCCTAAACCCTAAACCCTAAACCCTAAACCCTAAACCCTAAACCCTAAACCCTAAACCCTAAACCTCCTCCTCGGTCCAGGAGACGAAGAGCCGGATGGCCCCGAGCCACTGCCCAGCCTTCTCGCAGCAGCTGATTGCAGCGCTGTAGCTGATGACCTGTAGGGTTGTTTAGGGGTTTAGGGGTTTAGGGGTTTAGGGGTTTAGGGGTTTAGGGGTTTAGGGTTCAGGGTTTCAGGGTGTAGCTGACGTTTTGTTTCACTTTGACATGCTGCAAGAACTCGAAGGGTCTGGACGCTCTCGGGGCTGTAGAAGAGGGGAGGGCTCTAGACTTGAGGGGCTTGGGGGGTTTCGCTCCTTTTGGCCCCCTTTGGTTTAGGGTTTAGGGTTTAGGGTTTAGGGTTTAGGGTTAAGGTCCAGGGTTTAGGGGTTTGGGGTTTAGGGTTTAGGGCTTCCCGCTCCCCTTCCTGGGGCGTGAGGTTGCTCTTCTGGAGGCCATCGAAGAGGTGCACGGCCAGCTCCCACTGGCTGCCCTTCTCCTGGGCTCTTGTGAAGGAGCGTCAAGTAGCCCTAAACCCTAAATCCTAAATCCTAAACCCTAAACCCTAAACCCTGAACTCTAACCACAACAAGGAATCGCTACAATACTGCTTTCAAAGATTGTGGTAACGTTTTAGAACTTGAGCTCCTGAA